GCCGGAGAAGCTTGGAGAAATCTGGGGGAGCAAGGAATGCGAGAGTGCGAAAAGTAATCCTTCGAGAAATTGGAGCATATATATAGGCGGTGGAGATAGATAATGACCGTTGGATCAACAAAAGAACCAACGATCCTGATGAAGCGCGGAATTCGAAGAGTCGGCGGTTAAGGTGACGCGCGTCATTTCAGGGTTTTCGAAATTCAAAATTCAAAAGGGTGTCAGAATGTCAGACTTATCTGAAAAGGCAATCATGAGGGGCTAAAATGTTTCTCAATCGATTGACAAGACGAGTCAACGAAGCAACAGATCTAAGGAGATATTGCGGGAAGGCACGACACTCAACCACTCATCACCAAACATACTCTTAAGCAGTCGACCGCTTAGAGTAATTTTTTTTTTGGGGGGGGGGAGGACTAGATGATATAGCCACATAAGGATAACCCGGTCCAGAGGCTCCTTACCCGACCGGTGAACCGCTCGAACCACTTGCATGACGATATGACCCCGTCGACATGCTCAAGTCGACCTCCATAAGTCGACTCTACAAAGAGCGACCGGGAAGGGAAAGGAGTCCGTCCAGTCGATCCTCTTAAGTCGACCTCAGCATGTCGACTTCCATTAGTCGATATTTATATAATAAGAGCACCAAGAGCATAAGCCCCTGAACATCCAGATACTCTAAGTCGACTCCCACTAGTCGACTTCACCAAGACGATTCTCTGAAGACGACTTCCCCTCGAGGGAACTAACCAAGCGTGGCCTCCGAATCCTCATATGAGCACAAGTCGACCTCCTAGCTCTCGAGGTCGACTTTGTATATCTCGAAGGTCTAAGATGTGATGACGACTCATCACACTTGCAACATATTTAGGGCTCTACACATTACAAAGGACAAGAAGGAATCTTGTGATGACTCAGCAGCAAGGGGAGACGAATCGACCGGGGCATTTTGGACCTTCTAGGTCCACCGACTTGGGCATTTTGGGTACTTCAAGTAAGTATTCACTCCTATATAAAGGAGGTGAGGTAACCCTCTCATTCATTCTCCACACTCCCTCATAGCTGCTGCGCAGCCTCACTACATCTCTCTCATACTGACTTGAGCGTCGGAGGCTCTACGCCGGAAACACCTCCGGCGTTGAGTTTTTGCAGGTATCTCGCGGTCTAGCAACGATTCAGAGGCGGTTTAAGCAGATCTGAGCTCAAATCCACCGGTTTTCAGTAGTGCCCGGGAAGAAACTTTAATGTTTAATCGTTTTTTAAAAGTTTCAAAGTATTTATGAAAACTTAGTCTTTTTCTAAAGAAAAGTAAGCGGGCGCTAAAATCAGTATAAAACGAACTGTTCCTCTATGGGATTTGTTCAATAAACAAGTGTACTAGTGTAATTAATTAGTCAAAACCAACTGTACAGTTGACACTACAACCGTTCAGATGGTTTGTTCATTTCCATCTTGGTTGTGATCCAATTATTTATTTTTCACAAGTGACTGATAAAATGATCTTCTGTCCATCAGTAATGAACCATTTTATCTAAGTGCAAAACAACATAACATAGAACTTGTTTAATCAAACATGATTCTCATTCAACAGAAGTAGTGTAAATAATATCCAAAGCAAAACTTACAGTATATACACTAACAGTTAACTGCCTCTGCTTGAAAAGTTTTCCTAGTCTCTGATTATTGTAAAACCTCATGACTGTTTCTTTTAACTTCCTCCTTGAGCACCTGAGAAGATGAGGATTCTACCAAGCAAAATTGAGGAGAGCTTTATGTAGAGTATTAGCCTTATCAAGTTCGATGTTCTCAACATTTTTGCTTGAGGATGCATTAAGGAGATGCTTCTATACCTGCCCTCCTTGAGCCGACTGATTACTTGGTTGAGATCCCTGATAGCCAGAATGACTTATCTCCACCCAATGGTGCCCTTCCCCAGCTCTTATCCACTCCCCAAACTGCCCTTCAGATATGACTTCCTTAGTTATATCCTCCAGTCTTTTTGAGCACCCTTTGTCTAAATGTCCTACCTTCCCACAATAAAACACAGAGACTCACCAACTTTTCATATTTAAAGGAAACACTTACCATTTGATCCCCCAAACCTGATTTTGGTACATCTAGGTAGAACTTCAACACCTTAATTGATACCAACAATCTAATTATCTTCTCTCCGTGATTGTCTGCGCTTACCACCACCATATTCTTCACCTTACTAAACCTATTTTAAGTCCCACATCGGCACTAAGCCAATTGAGGGGAACATTATGGATTTGCACCCACATATTCAATTCCTCAAAACCTGGGTGATTGCAGTTCATCTTCTCTGGCCACTCTTGTAACACCAGGAATTGGTTTTCAAAACTCCAGTTAGTACCAGCTAAGACCTTTTTCCTGTCTTCTCGGTTCTAGAAAATGAATTGGAAGAAATTGTAATTTTTAATCCAACTCCTTCACTTCTAGGCACTGATGAATCCTCCAAGTATGTCCCAATGCCCTTTTTTATACCAATCTAACTAGCTTTCATATCCCCAATGATCTTACAGAACAGACTCCTTTTGCATTCCTCCATGCTTGCTCTGGCATCCTCCCCCAAGTCTATAATAGCATTTTCTTTCTCCAACAACGAGAAATTGCTCATTCGACGGACTACATCATCTTCCATTCTGAACACTAGAGAAACCTCTAATCCAAAACCCTAACTACCCCAAGTCTTCACTGCGAATAGACCCGTCCGAAATCTAGAAGAAAAAATTCTCAGAAGACTTTGAGTCCACCAACTACAGTAACGATGACCTACTGGTAAAGGCCCTCAGACGAGAGAATGGACCGGCCGAGAGAATAAAATAAATTAATTATCTCTTTAATCATTAAAACTAGTACGGTACCCGTGCGATGCACGGGAGCATTTACTACCTATTTATTTTTTAATAGGTATTTTTGTAATTTAAATTGTCTCATGGCATTAAAATTATCATGAAAATGAAAATTTATATGTTAATAAACACTTCCTTATGTACAACATTATTGGTTTGATTCATTGGCACGTAAAATACTACATAGGTGTTCGACTTTTATCTAAAATTGTATATTATTAGTTATTAGTTAACAAATTTTACAAAAATCAAAGGATCTTATTAATTAAACTAATTATAGTAGAAAAAAAGTAGAAATTTTTACCGATTTTCATCCATTTTTTATTTTAAATCTAATTACAAATTACAATAAAGAAAAATTAAAAGAATCATTAATAACTCCTGAAAATGAAACCGATTTTTCTACCAATAAACCGATTTTTTTATCAAACAAATTGATTCGAATATTTTTTTAAACCAAATAAAAAAATCATCAATTTTTCCTAAAAATGCAACCGAATTTTCCTAACACTGCACTGATTTTTTTACCAAACAAATTAAATTGAAAATAATTTTAATAAAAAATTGTAACAGTTTGTTAATGTTTATGCAGCTGTCTCTTTCCTAAAGAAAATTATAGGAACTTAACCAAAAATAAAAATGATATGAACTTACCAAAATCTCAGTAAAACATGGTTAAGAAAAAACACAAGAATAAAAAAGGAAATTGATGCACTTAAATTTTGAAAAGTTGCACACAATTTTTCGTAAATAATTGGATAAAGTGACTTTAAGTATCAAAGATGAACCGCCTTTGTTACCAAAAAATGTGGACACAATTTTGAATGTACATCCCGTCCAAATATCAGTTTGATTCGAAAATAAAATTGCGCGTGGTTTTATCCAATTTACACACTTTTTTTTAAATAAAAAATTATTCAATAAGATTTGAAGAATTGGTTAAAAATTATACAACTATTTGTTTCCAAAATTTGTATCCAATTTGTACGGTTTTTAAGTTAATTTGTTTATAGAATTATTTTCATAAATAATTGACACATTTTTCGCATAAGAATCTCTAAATTTGTTACCAAAAAATATATGATTTAAATTTTGGTAAAAGAAAATAAAATATGATATAAAAAAAATGGATTCAAAGTTTGCCATAAGAATCTCCAAATTAGTTACCAAAAAAATAGGATTCAGATTTTGTTACTAAGATTCACATGTATTTTTCAAACTTTACATTAATAGTAAGTCAAACATTATATTTATTTGGTCAAACTTTCTATTAATGTATTTTCCCAACAACCTCTTATATATATATAGATATAGATATAAATATAGATATAGATATAGATATAAATAGATAGATAGATATAGATATAAATTTCGATAAGGTTAATTGCAGATAAAACCCTAACCTTTTGTTAAATTGCAGATAAACTCCACTTTATAAGTTTGGCAAAAAAATACTAACCTTTCATAAGTGTTGTAATTGTGTCTCAACCGCCACCCGCCGCCGCCAACCACCATCCGCCGCCGGCCAACTTCACCGGATGTTAAAAATTTCTACATGATCTTGTAGCTCTCATCCGTGCCGACAACATATCCGAGTTTCACGAAAAAAATCCGATGATAAGGAGATGACCGGAAAAGTAGTCACCGAAAAAAGTCACCAGTTCCATTGAAGGTGGACGTCACTAATTGCGGCTTTGGGAGAGGAGTTCAACGGTACCTTCGGATTCACGTGGGTCAAAGCGAGTCACCAGGAATTTGCGAAAGAGCCGGATAAAATTTGTAGATCTACGAGCTTTGACCGGAAAACAGGGAGCCTTATCGTCGGAATTTTTTCGTGAAACTCGGATATGTTGTCGGCATGGAGGAGAGCTACAAGATCCTATAAAAATTTTCAACATCCGGCGAAGTTGGCCGGCGGTGGGTGGTGGTTGGCGGCGGCGGGTGGCGGTTGAGATACAATTGTAACACTTATGAAAGGTTAGTATTTTTTTTGCCAAACTTATAAAGTAGAGTTTTATCTGCAATTTAACAAAAGGTTAGTGTTTTATATGTAATTAACCCATATAGATATAGATATAAATTGAATCTCAAATTATTACTTTATTTCAATAAAAGAATTTCCATGAACTTCAATAATACACACAAAAGAGAAAAAAGATAAACAATGGCAAACCCGATAGTATATACTACACACTCATGAGCTCTCATCAACATCGTCGTCTCTCTGCCTCTCCCTCGAGCGCTCGTCAGCTAATATACCATTTGGATTTGCATTTGTTACGGTAAAAGGTTGGGAGAGACAGTGTTGAGAGCACGCGTATCTGAAGAGCGGCCGCCTAAAGAATCAAAACCCTAGATCCCAATTTTTATATTATTGTCTTTTATTTATTTTTTTCGTTTATTTTCCAAGTTGCTCGAGGATCGGAAAAAAATGGTGGTCTCTGCACCTCAATCTCAGTCGCAGCCTCAGCCTCAGCCTCTCTCTGCCGAGGAAGAAGCGCTTAAGAGAAACACCGATTGCGTCTACTTTCTTGCTTCTCCTTTAACCTGCAAAAAGGTCCCTTTTCCATCCCCCTTCTGTTTGCATTTCATCGTTCTTTTGAAATGGACATATCATATGTTGTGGTGTTTGTACGTTTGTTTTACGGTTATAATGTTTGATACAATTTATTTAAATACGCAGTTTGCCAGTTTATGAATTGTAGTTTTGCTGTAATTATCTGCGGGGTAGATCTTTATTGGCCATAGTTATTTTTATATTATTTATTTATTTTTTTGCTGAAGGCTTTTGGAGTTACTTGCCAATCCAGGGTTTTGCTTTCTTTTCTTGATTAGCATATTGTTCCTGACAATTAATTGGTGCTTAAATCCTGATCTCATGTTACAATATTCAGTTTCTTGTTATTGCGAGATTTAGGGTATCCCTGGAAAGGCCAATGAACTTTTGGATAGGGAAGTATCTTGGTATTTATTTTCAAACGAATTAATTGTAAAGGCGGTAAAGGGAATACTAGTCAATCTAGTGAACGCCGTTTATGAAGGCTATATAATAGGGCTGGATAATGGAATATTTGAATAATTTCATTGATTTTGAAGATTCGAATTTTGTATCATATTTGTGATATGCCATGAAGCCTTGTAAATAATGCTAAATGTGGTATCGACCTTGATCTTAGTGCCTCTACACATGATTGTGTGAGCTTGTCTTGCTTTAGTTGCCAGTGATTTTCAGCTTGTTGTCATTGTTGGGGAATATTTCATGTTGCCATATGATTTCAACCTCTTCTTTGTTTTGTTTGCCATTCTATTTATGCTCAATCTATCAGAAATTTATCCATGTGGTTAGTTATCATTTTAGGATGTGAATTTGCTGTATAAAATAAAACAATTGTATTTGTACCATATTTTCTGTGTAAACCTGTTTGAGGCTGAACGACTTTGATTTAAATGTGGTTCTGGACATACGAATCATTAGAAATAAATCCGATGGTGTTCAATGCTTTATGACAACACATTACATTTTCAAGGACATGCCAACAACATATCTTGTTCATTCATGACATCTGGTTTCTCAATGGTACTCATATTTTCGGGTTCCTTCTTGCAGGGAAGTGAGTGTGAGTATCGCCATAGTGATGTTGCACGGGTAAATCCAAGAGACTGTTATTTCTGGCTGCATGGTAACTGCTTAAACCCAAAGTGTGGTTTTCGGCATCCAGTGAGTTATTTATTTAACCTTCTTCGACTTGCACTTATTTTGTGCTATTACATTCTGCATTCTTAGTATCACAATCTTCTATATTTTCGCATGCCATTTATTGATGACATCATAATATCATTATCGTCTGATTCTTCAGCCACTCGACGGATTGCTGGGAACAGAAACGCCAATACCCATTGGACCCTCCGAACCCGTGTCCCAAACTGCAGTGGCCTCTGCCCCACCAAATGTCTCCACCAAACCAGGCGTGCCATGCATATTTTTCCAAAAAGGGTGCTGTCTAAAAGGTGACTGGTGTCCGTTTATTCACATGCCTTATTCTTCGAGTAACAAACCCTTGCCAGTCCCAGTAGCTGCTAGCAACACTGTAAACAACAAAAACACTTTAAGCGGACCACCCGAGAAGCACACCCAGCTGAAAACAACCCCTCCAGCAAAAGTTGCCGAATCTGTCAACAACGACATGGCAGTGGCAAAGTCATTCTTCCCAACCGACTCTAGAAATGAATCGGCCATTACCAGGAGTGTGGGCACACAAAAAAAAACTCGCGCGACTGAGCTCTATGGGTACAGGAACTCTACTCCCGTCTCAAACGGAAACCCAGACAACTGGCCCATTTACATTCAGCAATCTCGCCACCTAGACGAGCCCGAGCCCGAACCCGAACCCGAACCCGAGTATACTAACAGTAAGGACAATGACGAGATTTCAAGGGAGCCCTCTCCTGGTTTTGACGTCCTTGTGGATGATGATTTGAGAGACTCGGAATACTATCCCAGTGATGATAGAAATGAGTATGATATTGGGCTCCCAAATGAGCACAGAACTGTTCTTGGTTTGAATGACGAGTGTTATCCTGTTGGCTATAACTCGCACGATCTCCAAAGGGGGCAGTTCAATAATTATGAGCATCACTTGGCCCCATCTGAACTGCACGGAAGGCATGATGCTGTCGACCGGATTGATGAGCTGGACCTAAGGCACCGTCTGACGAAGCACAAGAAGCCCAATGGACTAAGGTCTGTCATCAGTCATGGGAATGCGCGCAATTCGGACAGAGGCTACCGGGGACTGCAAAATGAAAATAAGCGGGAAAATACGATCAGTAGCCGCCTTAGGGGCAGAATTGGTATTCCTCGGAGGTCACTTTCTCCTGTAAGGGCAAATATGTCTGCACACCAGAGAAGGCTACGTGATGTGAGAGGAATGGTGGACAAAGGCTTTAATAACATGGGTGGGAGGAATTACAGAGGTCCGTATGAGAGACAACGAGAAGATGGTGTTAATTTTTCTGGTCCGAAAAGTCTTTCGGAGTTGAAGAATCGGAAGAATGTTGTAATTGGGGAAAAGAGTGGAATCGACCAACAATCACTTGGAAAGAGAAAGCACGCGCATCGGGAGAGCAAAAACGACCTGTCGTTCGAGGGGCCGAAGCCTCTGGAGGAGATTCTCAAGCGCAAGAGGGGCGGGATGAGTCGGGACGCACCCAAAAACGAGCAGATTCTCAAGAAGGATGAATTTAAGGAAGAGGGAAAGGATGTGACTGCCAATGATGAGGTTTACGAATCCAACACGGCAGCTGAGAAGGTAGATGATGTGGTCAATGATGGTGGGGAACATGAGTTTGAAGAAGAGGGGTATGAGCCTGGGGAGGAAGAGTGGGATAATGAGCAGGCGGATGAAGGAGATAATGAGGAGTATGCGGATGAGGATGAAGACAATGATTTTGCAAAGAAGATGGGTGTAATGTACTCTTGAGGGTAAAAAGGTCCTTTTGGGTGGGTGTGCTCTTGCTGCTAAACTTCGTTGCAGTTTTACAGGTATTCGTTCTCTGTTTATCTAGGGTTTCGCGTGCTCTACTAGTTTTGATGTCAGGAAAAGTAGAGGTATGGATGGCCTTGTGTGTACCATTTTAGATTATTTCTTTTATGGTGGAGTGTGTTTTGAACTCTTGATCTGTGTGGGAAATTTCTTGTTTTTCTCTTTTGGTTTTTGTTTGTAGTTTCATTATACTTTGTACTTTTCAACTTTATGTTCCTGAGAAGAGGATTATGATTGTAACATTGAGGAAGTTGAATAATTGGCCTCTCTCTCGCTTTATGATTTTATGTTTATTTCCGTTTCCATTCTCTATACATCTATGTCCCTGAGATGAGGATTATGATTGTGACATTGAGGAAGTTAGGATAATTGGCGTCTCTCTCTCCCTCTCCCTCCCTCCCTCTCTCTCTCTCTCTCTCTCTCTCTCTCTCTCTCATGCTTTAGGATAATTGGCGTCTCTCTTTCCATTCTTTTCTACACTTCTTTGGAGGGTAAACTTCATATCCAACTTAGGGTATGTTTGGTTCAATCGAGGGGAAGGGAGGGGAGGGATTTTAGTAGAAGGGAGGTGAGGGGAGGGGAAGTGATGTAAAATAATTTTACTTTGTTTGAAGGGATTTTACAAGAGAGGAAAGGAAAGAAAATGGTAAACCTTGTTTGGTTTAAAAAGTGAAGAGAAGAAAAATAAAATTATATAGACAAATATACCCTTATAGAGAAAAAAGAGTCATGGTTTATTTATATGTGGTAATTTGTAAATATAATGAATTGAGAAGGGTGTATGAGTACAATCAATTTTAATTTTTTCCTTCCCCTCTAAATTCCTCCAAAACTGGAGGGGAGCTAATTTTCTATTGGGGAGGGAATTTGAGGGAAAATTTTTACCTCCCTTTCCTACATTAAATTGAACCAAACAACATAAAACTAAAAATTTCCCTCACCTTCCTACCTCTCCCCTCTGTTTCTCCCGAACCAAACACTACCTTAACTACTTAAGACGTAAGTTCAAATTCAGTATCCATCCTTTCAAGGGAAAAAAAAAGCCGAAAGAGGCTGAAATTGTGGGTTCGATTTAACTCGGGTTCTATAGTTTAAAAATATATAGTATTAGTTTAAATATTCGATTTAACACGGGTTCTATAGTTTAAAAATATATAGTATTAGTTTAAATACCTGAAAATTTAGGAAACATTCTTAAAAAAATATTCAAATAATTTGTTTATATCCACACCTTGATTAGTTTAAATACCTAAAGAAATAAGGAAACATTTCTAAAAAAATATCCCAAGTATATTTGTGTATATTTACACAGAATTGGACTCATTGGTTATTAACGAAACCATGTGTTTTGGAGAACAAGAATATAAAGGGTCTAGATTCAATTTCTAGACTTATACTCTGAATAAGTTTCTATACTTTGAAAATAAGATTTTTGACTTGAGCGTTAGAGTGTACTTCCAGGGCCACTTGGTGTAGTTTTGTAAATTGGCCCGGTTCATAGTATGAGATGTTCGAGGCGAGGTGGTTCAACCGAAAATCTTGGTAGACCGATATTTCAGGCACATCAAACTGACGCTGTCTGTGGGAATAAATCATTGTTATATGTGTTGAATATCCCAAGAAGAAAAAAAGAAAGAGCATATGGAAAAAAAAGAAGCACAAGAACAGTTACCGAAAATTTTGAGATGTGAAATTAAAGTTGTCTACCTAGGTTTATTTTGGTCGGCATAATTAATTGCCTGAAGGTAAATTGGGAGAGAAAATACTCTGAATGTGCCGGTAAAAACAAGGAAAAAAAAATAATAGATAAGAAAAACACATTGTTAGTGGTTTTATATAACACAAATATAAATATATATATATAGGACTAACCTTTATGTAGCGAAAGCGAAAATTTGCCAGTATCTTTTATCCGACACTACTAGAGTCGTCGGTATCCACCACGCTTTAAAACCCGAGCTGCCTTGTTGGTTTCGGCTCAACTAGAGATATATGCACTTAAAGATTATTTGTTGTGATATAAATTCAAATTGTTTTTCTTCTTCTCGTGTCTCTTTCAAGATGAACAAGTACCTTACTTATAGTTGTCCTCATGCAACTATTAATGAAGACATATTAACAACACTTCATGAAAGCTTCAATGCCCACTTTATAACTCCATACATAATAGAGATGAAGTTGTAACACTACCACATTTAAGTGGATGTTTCCAATTGATGCAACATAACATCAATTAAAAACAATACTCACACTCAGCCACTTAAGCCGAGACAATATCATCAACCTAAATCTTTATCAACAAATCTCTTGCATCCCACGGGTAATAGAGCGTGCGACCAAAAGCAACAATAACAGTGTTATATTAAGTCACCATCTAACTAACATAACACCTTATACTTACGACAACCTCTAACTGTTTAAAAATCACCGATAACATACACAGCCCCTATATGCTATATACACAACATGGTTATATTCAAATATAACCGCCCGGACTAATGTAGTGAAGTTGAATCAGTCATTTCTTAGACACTAATGAAACTTCATCTCAACTTAGTTGCTTTCCTAATATGTTCCGTCGAACTGTATCGATCATAGCTCTTGGAAGACATATTAAAGTAGCAACACTAAGTCTCAATTTCATAACATAGTTCTAAGTAAAAGGCTTCGTACAAAGTTGGACAACAAAATCCATAGGATTCAAACCTTGACAAAGTAAAGAATCAGTTGTCAATCCTTAACGGTCGTTCAAAGCACGCACAATATGATATACATGTCATAACATAGCTCCCAATATGATGGGCATGTCACTCTACTATGTTATACGAATCTATAGTCTAGATACTACTCAAGTATCTAACCCGAGCCACTTGATAAATAGACTTAATAATTTATCTTGCACTCGAGATTCGGCTTCAAGGCTTTGATATGAAATCAAGAATTATTTCATATTCGACTCATTAGAGTCTCATCTTAGACTTACTAAGGCGACTGTAAAAATATATTTATACAACAAAAGTATAAATACAATTCATACTACATACACTCAATATGAATATGACATAGTCTCATCCTATTACTTACAACTCATGTGATAGGGCGATTACCTGTGTGATAAGCGTAATCAAAAGCCTGGTGACATCTTTACTCATGCCTACTTATGCAACATATGCTAAAGAACATATCAAAGAACAACAAATTTCATATATGTTCGGTGTAACATTATACGCATCCATTGTCCCAAAAAATTAAAATTAAAACCTATGCAAACCAAGACTCTTCACATGAGTTTGGAAAGCATCTCTGCGTATAGGTTTAGTTTAAAAGATCAGCTATCATTTTATTTGTGGCTATATACTTAATGACAACATCTTTACTTTTTATTGCGTCTCGTACAAAATGATAACGCCTTTTGATATGCTTGGTTTTTCTGTGAAACTTCAGATCCTGGGCATACTGGATAGCAACAGTATTATCACAATGCATTTCTACAGGTTCATCAACCTTTGGGGTGAGGTTGAGATCCTATAGAAAATTTCTCAACCATATTGCCTCTTGAACGATAATGCAAATGGAAACATACTCAACTTCCATAGTCGAAAGGGCTATGCAATATTGTTTTTTACTACACCAGGATATTGCACCTCCACCAAATATAAAGGCATATCCTGAAGTTGACTTTGACTCATCCAGATCGCCACCCCAATCAGCATCCAAGTATCCTTTTAATTTCAAGGACCCACATTGATAGCAAAGTACGAAGTCACTTGTACCAAGCATGTACCGCAAGATTCTCTTGGCAGCTTGCCAATGAGCAGGCCTAGGGTTTCTTTGGTAATGACTTACGAAGCCAACCGCGAAGCAGATGTCTGGCCGTGTACATAACATAGCATACATCAAGCTTCTTACTGCACTAGCATATGGAACATTGCTCATTTTATGTTTTTCTTCATATGTATTCGGACATTAGTCAAGACTTAAGGTTAAACCCTTTTCGACTTGGGTATCAATGGGTTTGGAATAATGCATTTGAAAACGTTCTAAGATTCTTTTAACATATGTTTCTTGAGACAAACCAAGAATTTTTTTAGGACGATTTCTCATTATTTCCACTCCTAAGACATACCCAGCTTCACCCATGTCCTTCATTTCGAAGTTAAAGGACAACCACTTCTTAGCATCGTTAATCATTTCCATATCGTTTCCAGCCAACAATATGTCATCAACTTATAAAGAAAGAAACAAAATTCCTTCTTCACTTTTCTTGACATACACACAATGATCCTCATCAACCATGGTCAAACCAAATGTACAAATGGCTTCATGGAATTTGAGCTACCATCGTCTGGAAGACTGCTTGAGACCATATATGGATCTTTTGAGGTGACAAACTTTATTGTCTTGCCCTTTTTGGGACAAACCCAATAGGTTGATCCATATATATCTCTTCCTCAAGAGAACCATTGAGGAATGTTGTTTTTACGTCCATTTGAAATAATTCTAAATCCAAATGGGCAACCAAGACCAGAAGAAGGCGAATCGAGGCAAATCTCACCACAGGAGAAAATGTCTCATCGTAATCTATACCTTCAATTTAGGTAAAACCTTTCGCTACTAAATGAGCTTTGAACTTTTCTATTGATCCATCCACCCCACGTTTGATTTTGAATATCCACTTACATCCAATTGATCGACGATGAGGTCGAAGGTCAACAAGTTCCCAAACATTATTTTTAATCATTGAGTCCATCTCATCATTCATTACATGTTTCCATTCTGTATTATATGGTGAATTCATTGCCTCTATAAGAGTTCGGTTCATCTACTTCTAAAGGAGTACAAAGAAATACATCCTCCTCAATTTGAAAAAATCGACGAGGAATTCTTCCACGATCACTCCTTCTCAAAGTAGGACCTTCATTATTTTCCAAACTAGTAGAAAAATTTCTCCCACTGTCCTCGAGAGGCATAGGACTATGAGCTTGATGACTTATCTCGTGCTCTACTCTATGAGGCTCATCCTCATTTTGAGTTTGTTTTTCACTAGTGGAATTTAGAAGAACTTCATTATCTTTGGAGACCTGTTGAGGTAACATATCCCCCTCATCTCCTACAGATACTTGCATTTCTTGTTGTAACTCATACAACTGAAGGTCTCTCTTAATTTCACCAATACTTGGGAACTCATCCTCAAGAAAATCGACGTTGCGTGAGTCTAGTTCAGTCATTCCACCATCTGGATGTTCACCAAACATAACACCGTTTGAATGTTCAGGTTATCTAATGAACACCATTTCGGTAGTTCTTGGACCAAGCTTTCCATACTTATGAGTTTGGTTATGCACATAGCCAGCCGAACCCCAA